GGAAGAGCCCATGGGGACAGCTCAACCACGGCATCAACCATAGCCAAGGGTGGTGGAAGAGTCCCCAGTATCCCTCCCTTTGGAACCCAAGACGAGCATAGACCTGATTCCTCCTGCTCCATACTCATTCCATAGTGGTCCCCACCACCCTGCTCCTCAATGGCTGCCACGGAGTGGATCCGGACCCTTGGTGTGATGGGGGCACAAGAAGAGGGGGCAGGAACCTGTATCCTGCCAACACCCTCTTCTGGGGCTCCTTCAGCACCGACCAGAACAGCTCCGGCCTTGCCCTGAGGATCTGAGCCGCATCCGGAGCCGGATCCTGGCGGATGAAGACCTTGTAGATCCCGGCTTTCCCAGCCTCTGAGCTCCTCGCTTCCAGCCCGTTCCTGCTTCCCAGGTGCCTTTGGAGAGGAGCTTCCTTGTGACCAAGTCCTGTTGCCCTGGAGGACCTCAGAGGTTCTGCTGCTGGTGCTGGTCTCCACTTGGACACTTGGGCTTTGGTGCATGGTGAGGGCCCGGCTTTGCCAGAGGAGACCGTTGGGATGGCTGGAAGCTGCCTGGAAACAGGGAACAGGGGGAGAAGGGGATGGGGTTGGGGTCGCAGCCACGTTCCTCTGGGTGCCACCAGCTCAGGTGATGCTTGTGCTCATGGAACCCCAGGGATGATGGTGAGGAGTGGGAATGGCGCTGGGAAATGGCTCCCAGACTCACTTGAGTTGAGATTTGCCCTTCTTTATCTCCTGGTCCTTCATCTTCTGGTCCTTCACCTTCTGGTCCTTCATCTTCTGGTCCTTCATCATCTTCTGGTCCTTCACTTTCTGGTCCTTCACCTTCTGGTCCTTCACCTCATGATCCTTCACCTCATGATCCTTCATCTTCTGGTCCTTCATCTCCTGGTCCTTCATCATCTTCTGATCCTTCACTTTCTGGTCCTTCATCTTCTGGTCCTTCATCATCTTCTGGTCCTTCACTTTCTGGTCCTTCACCTTCTGGTCCTTCACCTCATGATCCTTCACCTCATGATCCTTCATCTTCTGGTCCTTCATCATCTTCTGGTCCTTCCCCTTCTTATCCCATGGCCTCTTGGTATGAATGGAGCTCCAAGAGGGAAGCAAAGGCAGATCCCAGCACACCCCTGGAACTGGGAAGGACACAGACATCAGAGGAGCTCCGGTCTCTTCCCGTAATGGCCAAGGATGCTCCTGGAGCTCCTTCCCAACGTCTCCCTTCCAACGCAGGTTTCCCCCTGGGGCAGTGATGGGAAGGAGGAGCTGGTGACAGGGATCTAATTCCTTGGGGTGGGAATTGCAGGACCCGGATGCATCCTGGATGCGGTTGGTGAAGCCCAGCTCAGGAGCTGGCCCAAGTCCTCACCATGGATTTTCCCCTTGGATCTTACCCACGGACACGGGCTCGGAGCTGCTTTACCTCCCATGCGCTGCCGGATGGGGGGCAAATCCTGCTCCTCCTTGTCCTCACCGGGGGCACATCCCAGGGGATGAGGAGGACTCGAGGACTTGGGGACGTTCCTGGCTGGTCGCTTGGACACTGACTCCAGTTCAAACCTAGGGATGAAGGGATCCATGGCAGCCCCTGCTCATCCCGGCCCGTCCCAAAGGATTCTCCCGGGAAAAGGGGGAATCCAGGATGGGAAAGACCTCGAATCCCTCCTGCTCCCAGCGGGTTTATCCCCAGGGGTCACCTGAGGCCAAACAAGAGCCACTGCTCCGCGCCCCCACAGTGGTCCCATTGGAAAGAGGGCGGGGCTTACACCAACGGGGGGCGTGGTTTATGTGGGGGAGTGACTTGTCTATGAATGGGATGTGCTGCTGGGGGCGTGGCAAGCTTGAGGGGGCGTGGCTTCGCAGCAAATCGGCGCGGGTTCTCGTAGGGGGCGTGGCTTGTTGTGGAAGGGGGGCGTGGTTTGCCTCAGTAGGGGCTTAGGAGGACCCATAGCTGAATTCAAAGCGGGGGAGCAACAGCTGGATCCAATGGGACACAGCTGGATCCAAACGGGGGGATCCACAGCTGGAGCAAGGGATGGACCTGGATCCAATGGGACACAGCTGGATCCAAACGGGGGGATCCACAGCTGGAGCAAGGGATGGACCTGGATCCAATGGGACACAGCTGGATCCAAACGGGGGGATCCACAGCTGGAGCAAGGGATGGACCTGGATCCAATGGGACACAGCTGGATCCAAACGGGGGGATCCACAGCTGGAGCAAGGGATGGACCTGGATCCAATGGGACACAGATGGATCAAAACGGGGGGATCCACAGCTGGAGCAAGGGATGGACCTGGATCCAGTGGGACACAGATGGATCCAAACGGGGGGATCCACAGCTGGAGCAAGGGATGGGCCTGGATCCAGTGGGACACAGCTGGATCCAAATGGGGGGATCCACAGCTGGAGCAAGGGCCACAGCTGGATCCAATGGGACACAACTGGATCCAAACCGGGGGGGGGGGGCACAGCTGGATGCCCCCCCCCAAACTGCTTCACACTCAGCTTCCATGCATCCCTGGTACTCACTCCGGGAAGACGATGACGTTGCCCGTGAAGGTCAGGGATGCGATGGGCACCACTGGGGACACCACCAAGGTGGGCCCATGGAAACCCTGCAATGGAGGACACGGAGATGCCGGGACACCATGGATGCGGATGGGCCCCCTCGCTCCATCACTTGCAAGCAGCTGTGGGGCACCGCAATGGGTCGGGTCCAAACCATGGGGAGCCCTCACTCACCTTGGCTGCATCCCATAGGTGGCTCCTCTTCCCATTGATGGCATGCAGGAAGGCGGGATAGAAGCACATCCTCACGGCCCGCTCCTCCATCAGGAGCATCCCCACACCCTGCAGCACCAGGGCGACGTTGTGGCCCTTGGCCAGGCAGCGGGACAGGAGGGAGGTGGTACCCAGGATGCAGCGCTGGGCCTGGCGCCGGGAGACGCCGGCATCCGTGGCCACCTTGGAATAGTCGAGGGGCTTCAGCTCTTTGGCACCTGGGAAAGCACAAAGGGGATGGGGCTTTTCCTGCCTTCCATGGAGCATTCCAAGGTGGAGCCATCCGGAAAGGTCCCATCTGAATGGCTCCTGCTCCCAAAGGAAAGGGATGCAACATCGACATCTCGTTGGATCCAGCATCTCCCTACCCAAAGGTTGGATCCAGCATCTCCCTATCCAATGGTTGGATCCAGCATCTCCCTACCCAAAGGCTGGATCCAGCATCTCCCTATGCAAGGGCTGGATCCAGCATCTCCCTATGCGAGGGCTGGATCCAGCATCTCACCACAAAGATCCCTGTTGTCCATGAGGTTCTGGACCATTCCTATGTTCCAGGCCACGCGGAACACGGGATTCCTGATGCTCACACTCCTGTTCCCAACCTGCATCCGTGTGGAGACCACATCGAAGGAGCCGAGGGTCGGGATCCGGATGCCCTGGAGCAGAAGGGAAGGGCCAAAGGATGAGGGATGCGCAGAGGGAAGAGCTGGAAGCAGCTCCATGCAGGAATGGGGCCTTGGACTGGGATCCTGCCATCTCCCAGGGATGGGATGCTGGGAATGGCTCTGGGAAGGAGATGCTGAGACCTCCGTTATCCCTCCTAATAGGGAAGCTCTGGAGCTCATGGCTCATCCCTGTTGATGGCAACACCACCCTTGGACCTTCTTTATCCCTCAAGGGCCACTTTTGGGGAGGTTTTCCTGCTTTCTGGAATGGGGGGAAGCAACTGCAGCCAGCGCTCCGTATCCACGGCAGGGAGGAGGAGGATACGGGGGTATCCTTGGTACCTTGCGCAGGAGGAGCTGCTCTCGGATGGAGGCAGCCACCGCATCCCACACGGCTCTCTGCTCTGGGAAAACAAAGGGAAACCGGGAATGGGGTCCGCGCCATTCCCACATGGAAGCGGGCGCGGATCCCGGTCCTCCCCGCACCTTCAGGGCTGCCCATGGGGCCGGGCTGGATCCCATCCCAGAAATCCATCCGGGACAGCCTCGTGCTCCCGGGCTGCTCCCCAGTGGGGATCCCCGTAGGGGAGCTCATCCCGGGGCTCATCCCTATGGATGCTGATGCTCCCGGGGGGCAGGACCCACTGCGGGTCCTGCGCTGTCACAGATCCCCGCGTCGCCATGGTGATGCGTTAGGGCAGGGGGCGTGGCTTCACTGGGGGCACGGCTTGTCAATGAATGGGATGTGCTGCTGGGGGCGTGGCTTGCCTCACGGAGGCGTGGCTTCGCAGCAATTCAACGCTGGTCGCGTTGGGGGGCGTGGGTTACCGAAGGGGCGTGGCTTCTTGTGGAAGAGGGCGTGGTTTGCCGAAGGAGGGGCTTAAGAGGACCCACAGCTGGATCCAAAGGGGGGGAGCAACAGCTGGATCCAATGGGCCACAGCTGGATCCAAGGAGGGCTCACAGCTGGATCCAAAGGGGGGATCCACATCTGGATCCAAATGGGGGGAGACAACAGCTGGATCCAATGGGACACAGCCGGATCCAAAGGGGGATCCACAGCTGAAGCAAGGAATGGACCTAAATCCAGTGGGACACAGCTGGATCAAGGGATGAACCTGGAACCAATGGGACACAGCTGGATCCAAACAGGGGGACCCACATCTGGAGCAAGGTGTAGAGCCGGATCCAATGGGACACAGCTGGAGCAAGGGCCACAGCTGGATCCAAAGCAGGTGGGGGCACAGCTGGATCCCCCCCTCCCCCCAACTGCTCCACACTCAGCTTCTTCCATCTCTTTATTCACCACACCACCCCCCACCCCCCCTGAAACCACCCCTTTGGTGGGGGGGGGGGGAGGACCCCAACCCCCCCTCCCCCCCCAGATGTTGCCCCAAAGTCTCTATGCGAAGCGCAGGGGAGGGCTGCGGGGGGGGGGCCCTTCCCCCTTCCCTCCTCTTTGTGGCTCCTTCCCATTTGCTTTTCCTCCTTTCCATTCATCTTCTCCCTCTTTCCAGGTGCTTCTGCCTCTGTGTCCCCCCATCCGTGCCCCCCCCCAAGCTCACGCGTTTCCTTCCTCCTCCTCATCCCCGTTTTCCTTCTTCGCTTCCTCTTCCAAGCCCTCGCTTCCGCTTTTCCCAGCTCCTTCCCCACTCTTGGCATTGGGGACCCAGAGGCCGGAGTCGATGCAGCGCTGCATGTGGTGCTTGGCTTCCTGGAATGGGGCAGGAAATGCATTGGGGGGGTGCTCTTCCGGTATTCCCACTTCCAGGAAGCTCCCGGGATGGGGGAAGCAGGGAAACACTCACAGTCGGATCCATTTTGCTGATGGCATCTTGTAACATCTGGACATCCTTGACATCGAAGCACTTCTGGAGCTCCTGTTAGGGGAAAGATGCACATGAGGACCACCCCCATCCCCCCCAAATCCCACCGTATCCTGGTTTTCTTGCTTTATCCCTAAGGAACGAGAGGGAACGGCCTCAAGTTGCAGCAGGGGAGGCTGGGATGGAGATCGGGATGAGTTTATCCACCTAAAGGGTGCTCAGGGTCCCAACCCAGGGCAGTGCTGGAGTCCCCATCCATGGAAGCATTCCCAACCAGTGTTGGTAGTGGTGGCCTTGGATGCACTGTGAATGGCTGGCCTGGATGGATCCCAACCCATGCAGACGATGCCCTCAACGCCATGGGTTAGTGATGGCCTTGGAAGTGATGGGAAAGGCTGGCCTGGATGGATCCCAACCCATGCAGACGATGCCCTCAACGCCATGGGTTAGTGATGGCCTTGGAAGTGATGGGAATGGCTGGCCTGGATGGATCCCAACCCATGCAGACGATGCCCTCAACGCCATGGGTTAGTGATGGCCTGGGAAGTGATGGGAATGGCTGGCCTGGATGGATCCCAACCCATGCAGATGATGCCCTCAATGCCATGGGTTAGTGATGGCCTGGGAAGTGATGGGAATGGCTGGCCTGGATGGATCCCAACCCATGCAGACGATGCCCTCAATGCCATGGGTTAGTGATGGCCTGGGAAGTGATGGGAATGGCTGGCCTGGATGGATCCCAACCCATGCAGACGATGCCCTCAACGCCACAGGTTCACAATGCCCTCGGAAGCACGGGAACGCTTGGCTTGGCCGAAATCCAAGCTCCCTTCCAAACCCATGGGGCCAAGGAAGGGGTCGGGGGGACACTCACGGCTGGCAGGGACTCGTAGACCTCGACGGGGTCGAGCCCCCCTGGCCCCAGGCGCTTCTGCCTCTCCTCCTCCTCGTACTCCTTCAGGGCCTTCTCGATGCGCACCTTGGCCCGGCCCCGCACCCGCTCCTTGAAGGCCTCCAGCTCCTCGTTGAAGCCCTCCATGTACTGCTGGTCGGCTGTCTATGGGGGGAACACACATATAGGGATGCAGGGATACGGATATGGGATGGAGGGGGGGAGATAGGGGGGTCCTTACCTTGATTTTGGTGAAGAACTGCCTGAAGCAGGCCCTGGGGTCCACCTTGAGGCTCTTGGCCAGCTCCAGGATGAACTGCATGACGATGGTCTGGTGGGCGACCTGCTCCATCAGGGCATGCTTCTGGGGAGGGGGGAAAGGGGAAAGGAGAAAAGGGGTGAGGGCACCCCCAAAACACTCCCCCCACTCCTTCAAAAGGGCTTTTTCAACCCCAATTATTCCCTGCTTTGGGAATTCTGTGTCCACATGGAGCCCTCTTGGGGCTGAGGTCAAAGAGAAGGAGGCTTCAGGAGGACCTTCTGAAGGTGGGATGATGCTGGCTGCATCAACAGGAGAAATCCAATGGGAATCCCATTGGGACTGGGCTTCCAGAGGGCAGCAGCAATGCAAGGAAAGGGGATGGGGGAGCTCCTGCTCTGCCTCCAAGAGGAATCCCATTGGGATTGGGCTTCCAGAGGGCAGCAGCAATGCAAGGAAAAGGAATGGGGAACTCCTGCCCTGGCTCCAAAGGGAATCCCCATCCCAACAGCCTCAGTTCCTTTGCTCCAAGGGGACTCCAGGCTCTTCCCCACCTTTCTCAACCTAAGTCATCGCCCCCCACCCCAAATTCCAAGCAGGAAAGGGCAATCCCGAGCCAAAGGCTTCCCTACCTCCTCCACCTCCAGGTCGATGCACCAGATCACCAGGTAGTTGGCCGTCTCCTCGCACACCAAGTGAGGGTTATCCGAGAGGTACTTCTGGCTGTCATCCCAACGCCGCAGCATCCCTGCATCCCGGGAGCATCCCATGGGTTAGGATGGACTCGGGGGGGGGCAGTCTTCCAAACAATGGGAATCTCCCTGCTTCAAGCACTCACCAAAGTGTTTGATCTGCTTCTCGTGCCTCTCCACGAAGCTCTTGTGCTTCTTCTCCTTCTGCTCCTCCGTTTCCTCCTTCTCCTCGGCTTTGACGTTGAAAACACTCTGGAAAAAAGGGGAAGGATGGGAGAGGATGGGAGGATGAAGCTCATGGATAAAGAGGGGGTGATCCCAAAAGGGGAAGGGGGTGATCCCAAAGAGGGGTTTCCCAATCCCAAACCTTGCTGAAGCCATCCTTGCTGAGGGTATCCACGTTCCAAGGCAGGTTCTTCTCCTTCTTCTTCAGCTCTTCTAGTTTCTTCTCCCAGCTTTTCTCTTCCTTCCGTAGCTGTTGGGCCTCGGCCTGGAGCTTTTCCAGCTCCCCCTTCCCGCTTCCCGGCGATGACACTTCCAGTTCCTTCATCTTCTTCTGGCACTCGGCGAGCTTCCGTTTGCATTCCCGGCAGCCTTTATCCAGCTCTTCTTTTTCCTTCTGGAATTGCTCCATCCTCTCCACCCGAGCCTGAAGGAGACCGCAAGGAAAAGGATGCTAACACCCCCCACCCCGGTCCAGGCACACCTGGATCCGTTATCCTTATGGAATAAGGTGATGGGAACACCAGAAGCAGCAGCATCATTCCCTCTGCATGCAAATACTGCGCCATTCCCAGTCCCCATGGATCCAGCTTCCGGGAATGGGATCCCCCCCCCCCCGTTTATCTCAATGGGTTCTTCCAGCCCTGGACATGGTGAGGATGGGAGGGAAGGACCAAAAACCGGGGGGGGGGAGGAGTTACCATGGAAACGGGAACAGCAGATGGAGGGGTCAGTCGCTTCCCATAGAGGGTCCCAGGCACCAGTTGCCATGGCAACAAGGGGATTTTCCCCCCCCCCCCGTAAGAGAAACCCCCCTTCCCTCCCCCCGCGATGGGGGTATCCAGGTGCTGGTTGCCATGGCAACAGGGGTTTCCCCCCCCCCACAGAGGAGTTGCTATGGGGGCGCCGGTTGCCATAGCAACAGGGGATTCCCCTCCATGGGGAGTCCCGTTGCCGGTTGCCATGGGAACAAGGGGGGCTCCCCCCCCCCCCCCCCATGGGGAGTCCCTGCTCCGGTTGCCATGGAAACACCGGATGCCCCCCCCCCCATGGGGGTAGCTATGGGGGCGGCGGGGCGGCGGTTACCATAGCAACGGGGCCTACCGTTGGGGAGGGGGGGGGTTAAGCGGGGCCTGGTTCACCTGATGCCGCCATCGGAAGAGGCTGGCGGTGTCGATGTTGGGGTGCGTCTCGTCCTCATCGTCCGAGACCTCGATGTGGTCCCACACGCTGTAATCCACCATGGCCGGGCCTCACCGGGCACCGCCACCGGGCACCGGCCGCTTCTGGAAGCCTCCAGCGCCCGCCCCGCTTCCGGCCGGCCCCGCCGAGGCCTTCCGGGGCGTCGGTCAGCCGGCTGGAGAGAGTGCGCATGCGCGAGTGGCGCAGCCGCGGCGAGGGGGGGGGGAGAGGGAGGGGGGTTTAAAGGGATACGCACCGGGAAAAAGGGGGGGCATGGGGGTGCATTGGGGGACTTTGGGGTGCTTTGGAGACATTGGGGGACATTGGGGTGCTTTGGGGTGCATTGGGGGACTTTGGGGTGCTTTGGGGACATTGGGGTGCTTTGGGGTGCATGGGGGTGCATTGGGGGACATTGGGGTGCTTTGGGGTACATGGGGTACATACGGTACATTGGAGTGCATTGGGATGCTTTGGGGTGCATTGGGGTGCATTGGGGGATATTGGGGTGCTTTGGGGTGTTTTGGGGGACATTGGGGTGCTTTGGGGTGTTTTGGGGGACATTGGGGTGCATTGGGGTACATTGAGGTACATGGGGTACATTGGGGTGCATTGGGGTCCATTGAGGTCCATTGTTGTGCTTTGGAGTACATGGGGGTATATTGGGTACATGGGGTACATTGGGGTGCATTGGGTTACATTGGGGTACATGGTGTACATTGGGGTACATAGGGGTGCATTGGGTACATTGAGCACATTGGGGTACATTGGGGTACATTGGGGTACATTGGGGTGCATTGGGGTCCATTGGGGACCCGAGTTCCGGGCGCCGGGCCCAGGGCTCGGTTCCCACGGGGTGCGGTGGCGCCGGGATCCCGGGACCAACTCCCCCCCCCCCCCCCCCCCGCCGTGCCCGGGGCCGTGTTTCCACCGCCGCTGGCACCGGAACGGGAACGGGAACGGGAATGGGGATGGGAATGGGAACGGGAATGAGACAGGGACCGGAATGGGGATGGGAATGGGAACAGGAATGGGAACGGAAACGGGAACGGGAACGGGAATGGGGATGGGAACGGGAATGGGGATGGGAACGGGAACGGGAAGGGCAACGGGAATGGGAATGGGAATGGGAATGGGAACGGGAAAAAGACAGGGACTGGAATAGGGATGGGAATGGGAAAGGGAATGGGATAGGGAGTGTGAATGGAAATTGGAACAGGACAGGGAATAGGAACGGGAACGGGAATGGGAACGGGACCAGGAACAGGAATAGGACCGGGAGTGGGAATGGGAAATGGAACGGGACCGGAAACTGGAGCTGAACCGGGAATGGGAACGGGACCGGGAATGGGAACGGGACTGGGAATGGGAACGGGACCGCCGGGATCCTGCCCCCCGCGGCCACCCCACACCGGGATTTGGGGGGGGGGGGGAGAGCCGCGGCTCCACCGCTCGGAGCTCGGGGGATGTCGGGGTCCCCCCCACTTCACCCTCAGGCCCCGCCCCCCGCCCTGAGGCACCGGGGCAGGATCGGGCCCCACCGGAGGATCCGGATCGGGCTGTGTGGGATGGGGCTCGATCCCGTGTGGTTCCATGCACCAATCCGTGCCATTCCATGTGTCATTCCATGTGCCATTCCATGTGCCATTCCATGTGTCATTCCATGTGCCATTCCATGTGCCATTCCATGCCATTCCGTGCTGTGCAAAGGGATGTGAGGCTCACTCTCCATGTGGCTCCATTAAATTCCATGCCATTCCATGCCAATCCATGCAGCGTGAGTCTCACTCTCCATTTGGTTCCATACGCCATTCCAGGTGTCATTCCATACCAATCCATGCCATTCTATGCCCATCCATCCCATACCATTCCATACCAATCCATGCCATTCCATGCCCATCCATCCCATGCCATTCCATACCAATCCATGCCATTCCATGTCCATCCATCCCATCCCATTTCATGTCCATCCCATTCCATCCCAATCCATGCCATTCAATGCCCATCCATCCCATTCCATACCATCCCATCCCATTCCATCCCATCCCATCCCATTCCATACCAATCCATGCCATTCCATGCCCATCCATCCCACACCCCCTGACCCCCCCCGATCCCTCCCCACATCCCCGCTGCTCCCGGTGCTCGCTGCCATCCTTGGCAGTGCCCGGTTCCGAGCTGTGCCAAGGGCTCTGGTGCCATTCCCTATGGAAGCTCCCGGAGCAGCCCCCCCCTCGGGTCCCACGTCCCAGCACCCTTGCCCTGCTCCTGCCCTGCAGGCAGGGACCCCCCTGGGGGGATGCTGTGGGATGGGGACCGGGATGGGGATGAGGATGTCCAATAGGACAGGGGTAGTGCCAGGGATGAGGCAGTGACCGGGATGTAGATGTGGTCCAGGATGGGAACAATGGGAATGTTGCCTGGAACCAGGACAGGGACAGTGTCCAGGTAAGGGACATTCCCCGGAGCCAGGACATGGCCTGGGGTAAGGATAGGGGTGGGGATGGGGATGGGGATTGGGATAGGGATTGGGATAGGGATGGGGATGGGGATGGGGGTGGGAATGGCGATGGGTATAGGGACAGGGATAGGGATAGGGATGGGGGATAGGGATAGGGGCAGGGATTGCGATGGTTATAGGGATAGGGATAGAGATGGGGATAGGGATAGGGATAAGGATAAGGATAGGGATAGGGATAGGGTTAATTATAAGGATAGGAATAGGGATGGGAATATGGATAGGGATAGGGATAAGGATAGTAACAGGGGTAGGGATGAGGATGGGGATGGTGCCAAGGACGGTGCCCACACAGGCACCACCAGCGCTACCGGCGCTGCCCGGCCCCACTGGCCCCTACCAAGTCCCCACCATGGAGTTGGGGGGGGATGGCTCAGGAACAGCCCCCCAATCCAAGCCTCCGAACCCCCCCAACCCTCATCCACCCCCTTCACCGGTGGGTCCATAGACACCCCCCCCCGTGCATTGACCCCCCCCTCGGTGCCACCGTGGTACCCGGGGGGGGCACCCACGGCGGTGCCGGCAGCCGGCGTCGTGCCACGAACCTCCCTCGCTGCAATGAATCATCCCCGAACATTCCAGGGAGCATCCCCCCCCCCCCCCCCCTTTTCCCATCCCATTCCCATCCCATTCCCAATGGATCCCCTTAGGTGGGGGCAGGATATTGGGGTTGGCTTTAATGCGGGGTGGGGTGTGGGGGGATGAAGGTGTCAGTCCGCACCCATTGACACCAATGGGTGCAAACTGGGGGGGGGGGGTGCTTCACATCGGACCCCCCCTCTTTGTGCTATGAGTGGGGATAGGGGGGTTTGGAGGGGTGACCCCCATTGCAAAGGTGGGGGGGTCCCCCGTTGGTTCCGGGGGGGAGGTGGTGTGGGGATAGCCCGATGGGGGGGGGATTCCTGATGGGGGGATTCCTTATGGGGGGGGTGATGTAAAGGGGAGGGGGGGGGGTTCGCTCCGCCTCGTACCGGGGCGGGGGGGCGGCACCGGCGGCGCTTGGCGCCACCCCCCCCCCGGGGTCGTCCCAACCGGTTGCACGGGGCCATGCGGAGCCCGGGGCCGGGCAGCGCCGCCACCGAGCACCGGTAGGGACCGGGACCGGGACCGGGAGCACCGCGGGGTCCCGTTCCCCCCCCCTTCCCCCCCCCCCGGTCCCGGGGGTGATGGAGCCGGTACCGGGCTCCCGGAAAAGCCTCTCCCTGTCGCTACCGGTACCCCGGGAGGGGCCCAGCACCTTGAAGCCCCCCCAGCACCTCTGGCGCCAGCCCCGCACCCCGATCCGCATCCGACACCGGGGCTTCTCCGACGCCGACCGCCACCGGCCCCGGCCCATGGAGCGGGCGGACGCGGTGGACACCGGCGACCGGCCCGGGCTGCGGAAGTCCCGCATGTCGTGGCCGTCGTCCCTGCACGGGGCCCCCAGCGCCGGCAGGCGGTAGGTGACAGCGGCCGGGACCCCCCCGAGCCCCCGGTGCCACCCCGAGACCGGGACCGCAGGTGGGAGCCTCTCGGCACCAGCTCCATCCCCGGACCGGGACCATTTCTCCCCCCCCCCCCGCCCCCGGCACCATCCTGGTACCAGCGCTGGAGACCCGAGCATCGCAGGGGTATCCCGGTACCGGTGGCAGGACCCCCCCCAGCATAATCCCGATCCCGGTACCGGAGGCAGGACCCCCCCCCCAGCATCATCCCAATCCAGGTACCGGAGGCAGGACCCCCCCAGCATAATCCCGATCCCGGTACCGGAGGCAGGACCCCCCCCCAGCATCATCCCAATCCCGGTACCGGAGGCAGGACCCCCCCCCCCCAGCTTCATTCCTATTCTTGTACCAAAGGCAGGACCCCCCCAGCATCATCCCTATTCTTGTACCGGAGACGGGACCCCCTCAGCATCATCCTGATCCCGGTCCCAAAGGCAGGACCACCCCAAGCATCATCTCGATACTGTCACCAGAAGCAGGACCCCCCAGCATCATCCTGATCCCATTACCAGAGGCAGGACCCCCCAGCATCATCCTGATCTCATTACCACAGGCAGGACCCCCCCAGCATCATCCTGATCCCATTACCAGAGGCAGGACCCCCCCAGCATCATCCTGATCCCATTACCAGAGGCAGGAGCCCCCAGAATCATCCCTATTCCAGTACTAGAGACAGGACCCGTCCAGCATCATCCCAATCCCGGTACCAAAGGCAGGACCCGTCCAGCATCATCCAGTTCCCAGTACCAGATGCATGACTCTCCCCTCGCCCCCGCATCATCCCATGGGGCAGCAGTGACACAAGGAGGGGAGGGGGGTGTCACATCCATGGGGACTCCCCCGGGGGTCCCCATCAGGTCCCGATTCCCCATAGCGGGATCATTGGATGCCGGGGGGGGGGGGGGGGGGGGGGGTGTCCCCATCGCCATGGCGGGGCCGGGGGTGCCGGGATCTGCCTGTTCCCTGTTCCCATTCCCAGGAAGTGATTGGCGGGGGGGCAGCGTGTACTGAGCTCAGTGTCCTTCCGGCAGAGCCGGGGGGGGCACCTCCGGCTTCATTGGGGGGGGGGGGGCTGAGGGATGCGCAGGAGGCTCAGCA